CTTTTGGTGTTATATCTAAGAAACCATTGCCTCATCAAAGGTCAGAAAGATTGACCTTATGTTCTCTTCTAAGAGTTTTATAGTTTTGGCTTTTATGATTAAACCTTTGATCCATTTTGACTTAATTTTTGGATATGGTGTGTTAGGTTTCTAACATCATTCTTTTGTATATGGCTATCCACTTGTCCCAGTGCTGTATTTTGAAAAGACTATTCTTTGCCCATCGAATGGTCTTGGTAGGTAATTTCTCAGAATTTAATTTTTTTTTGGTAACAGATAAACAGTTTATGTGATTCAGAGTCAAATCAGTATGTTCAGAAATAGAATATCTGTATCTGTAATATTCCCTTTCCTCTCTTACTCCTTCCTTCCTTCTACAGGTAACCTTTGAATTTTTTTTTTAAGGTTTATTCATTTTTCAGAGACAGAGACAAAGTGTGAGTGGGGTGGGACAGAGAGAGAGGGAGTCACAGAATCTGAAGCAGGCTCCAGGTTCTGAGCTGTCAGCACAGAGCCCGATGCAGGTCTCAAACCCATGGACTGCAAAATCATGACTTGAGCTGAAGTTGGATGCTTAACCGACTGAGCCACCCAGGCACCCCATGAATTTTTTTGAATTTATAATTTATCACACTGTGACCCAATTCTAATAATGTACTGATTTTGGGGCCCACAGCAGAATACTTGAGAATTAAAAAAGCTTATCGTTTTGATGCCAGTTAGGGCATGGAAATATTATCCAGAGAAAAAGTTTGTTGAAATTGATAGAATAAAAGATAATAAAACTTCAGGATCAAAAGACATTAGGCAGGAAAAGTCATTGAAGAAAAAGGGGTTAAGAAGATAGCAAATCGTGGACACATTTTCGAGAGAATTCAATTTAAGGCTAAATTTGGGAACCAGGGCTGATACTTAGGTATGTTTCTGTCTTGTGAAAGCGTCACTCGTGTGGAATGTGTTTGTCCTGATACCATAGTGTGAGGTACTGCTCTTTTTCTTTTTTTTTTTTTTTTTTTTTTTTCAACGTTTATTTATTTTTGGGACAGAGAGAGACAGAGCATGAAGGGGGGAGGGGCAGAGAGAGAGGGAGACACAGAATCGGAAACAGGCTCCAGGCTCCGAGCCATCAGCCCAGAGCCTGACGCGGGGCTCGAACTCACGGACCGCGAGATCGTGACCTGGCTGAAGTCGGACGCTTAACCGACTGCGCCACCCAGGCGCCCCTGCTCTTTCTTTTTCTGCCCCTCCACTCGCCCTCTCCCTTCCTCCCAACGGGGTCCCTCTCCCGTTAGCTCCTGCTGCTTCTGTCTCCCGCAGAGTCTTGGTCCGGGGGTTCACCCCAGCGTGTCCACAGGTGACACACATGGTGCAAAAGGTGCTGTTCCCCCGGAGCCTGCAAGAGCTGGAGCTCTGAGATGGGTGTCTCCGTAGGTGGAATCCTCCCAGGAAGCCAACGCTGAGGTGATGCGAGAGATGACCAAGAAGCTGTACAGCCAGTACGAGGAGAAGCTGCAGGAAGAGCAGCGGAAGCACAGTGCCGAGAAGGAGGCTCTGCTGGTGTGTATGTCACAGCTGCCCAGGAGGCAGCAGGGAGCGCCGGGTTCGTTATTGCTGGCGAGGCTTGCGTAGCAGGGCTTCTGCTTGGAGGGGAGTCCGTGGACTCTAACACGGGCGAGGGGCAGGTTGTTTATTCACTTGCTCACTCCCTCCCCCGTTTCTCCCTCCCTTCCTCTGCTCATCCCCCTCTTTTCCCACAGTGGCCCCCAGTCTCTGCCTCCAAGTACACTCCAGGCAGGTCCCTGACTTACCTGCAGCCACGCCCTTCCCCCCCCACCTGCTCCTCTCCACCTGAAATACCCTCCTCCCCTGCCCTTGCTCCCACCTAAGCTCCTGAAAGGCCTTGAAAATGCCACCCTCTTGGTGAGTGCAACCTTTCCCGCTCACTAGAAGTGTCTGCTGTCTTTGGGAAGCCCCTGCTCTCTCTCCTGTTGTTCCTGTTATTAGAGTTGGACTGTCTGTCTCCCATCCTGGGTTCTCTAGGAGAGAGTACAAGTTCCTTGAAGGCAGGGAGTCCGTGGCTGCCTTATCTTGTGTTCTTAAAGCTCAGTAGATGTCTGAATGGTTGCCTGAGTTGGTGCTTTGCATTGTGGGAGAACGGTCTGGACATTCTGCATTCAATTCCACATGTGGCCCCTGCTCCACTTTGCACTGTGGGCAAATACAGTGACCCTTCAAGCATCCAGTCAAGGGAGAAAGAACATTTGTAGACTTCTTTCTTTTTTCAGACATAAGGACTCAGGTAGGGAGAAAGGAGAAAATATAACTAGGCCCATTAAAAGGCCACGTGATGTTTCTTTATTTACGTATGAGAACCAGAATCATGGGAGTTGAGTTCATGATCTGAGTTCACAACACTGCTAAGCCCCAAGGCTATGCTTTTAAAGAGACATGATTTAGCAAGGCCAGCACCATTTGGACCCTAGTTAGCAGCCTAGCCTAGACTCCATGGCTGTGCTGAGGACGGTGTGTTTCTTTGGCAGGAAGAAACCAATAGTTTTCTGAAAGCTATTGAAGAAGCCAATAAAAAGATGGAGGCGGCGGAGATCAGCCTAGAGGAGAAGGACCAGAAGATTGGAGAGCTGGACAGGCTGATTGAGCGCATGGAAAAGGTAACAGACACTGCTCTTGGCCCAGCACCCACTTGCCCAGACCCCCCTACCCCGTCTCTGCAGTCCCCTGCAGGCCTGTCTGAAGGTGTGAGAAGCCCTCAGCACCCATCCCTCCCATCCCTCCGATTTGTGATTTAAACAGGAAAGACAAAGCTGTAAGAAAAGCATGAAGTCCAACAGAACTCTCATTGGTAATTATTTTGATGCTTCAAAAAACATTCCACCTGTAATGATTTATAAAAATTAATATTTTAGCACCCTGCTTTGCTGGGGTCCCAGGCATGAATTTCGTTTACTCATTGAGTAACCAAACCTTATTTAAATGTTACATCAACACCCTGAGTGTGCTGTTTGTTGGGCATGCATCTGAAAGGTTGGCTTTTCTCTGATACGGCAGAGCGGAGGAGACCACATTTTCTTTGTGTGCGGGTGGGGATGGGAGTAGGCTGTGGAAGGCGGGAGATGAGCTGAGATAAAGAAGCCAATTTAGAGAAGGGAGGAAGCTGAAATTAGGCAGAAAGTGGAAAACAGGAAGAATGGGTGGAAGAGAGGAAAGAGAAAAAGGAAAGAAGAAGAGGGAAGAGGGAACTTTAGCAGGTGACAGCTGACTTCTAGGGGAGGAGTGGTAGTTTAGGCCAAAGCTGTGGCTGGTTTCTGGAGGATGGCTCTTACCAGCGTGTGGGTCTGCAGAATAGCAGTGACCTGCCAGGACCGTGACATAGAAGTACCCAGTAACTCATGCTGAGCATTCTGAGGCTGGTGATGAGCAAGGGATAATGACAGTGTGAGCAAGGTCAACACTTAGGCTTCCAGTGATTCTGAGAGAGGTCTCCTTACCCCTGGTATCTGCAACATAGGCCCCTGTACAGTCCCCGGACAAGGTGAAGTGTAACCAGGGTGGGAATGGCATTAAATTCAGTGTTCTGGATTCAGCTTCAGGGCTTGTGGGGGCGTCTTTATTTGGGAGAGACTTGAGAAAAGCAAAGGATCCATTATTGCCTCACCTCTCTTCCTTGGGAAAACAATCCTATCTTTTATTGAAGAGAAGAGGGTAAAGCTGTATGTTTACAACTTACATCAGTATAGGTTGGAGGCGGTAGTCGTGAAGATTGTGCCATGATGGCATTTTTTCTAGAACATAGGTGAGCTTTCTTCCACATTCTGCTTCCCTGAAACAAGAGAAGATACTAGTCATGCAAGTGCTCCCTGTGGATGACAGATTTTCCTGCCACGCACAAGCACAAAGTGAGTGGGCAGCTTGTGTTTTGAACAGGATGCCGTCTCACAGAGACTGCCCATGGGGTGGCTAAAAATACAGGTTTTAGAATCAGGCAGCCTAGGGTTTGAATCGTGCCTCTCTTTGTATTTGTGGGCAGTTACTTGACTCTTCCAAACTGAGATTCCTTTTCTGTAAAATGCTGACAATAATAATTCTTAAGGCTTTGTGAGGAGTAAATGAGAAAAGTCCACACAAAGTGCTAAGCATGTTGCCTGGCATATAGTAGTGGCTCTGAAATGTGTGTCTCTGATTCGATTTTGTCACAGACTTGCCTGAGTGTCTGTCCCCAGTC